TAAGAATTGGGTCTGTGAAAAATACTTAGTGACATGAAAATATTCTTACACTGTAAGGTTATTTTATACTATTAAGACTAAAGCAAGTTAAAAATAGCTTAGATAGTATGGTTATAATTTTGTTTAAAAAATATTCATGCGGGTATATAGTAAAAGAAAAGATTGCCCGAGTATGTACCAAAATGTTAAAAGAAGTTCTTTTGATGATGCGGATTTGGGATTACAAGTGACTTTTACTCCCTTTTCTGTGCTTCACTATATTTTTCAATTTTTTTATGATGTTACATAATCAGAAAAGAAAGCACAATAGAAGGTACTTTAAAAAAACAGGACAAATGCCTTCAAAGGACATTCAATACAGAGTTATTTGATAATATAAAAATATTCACAGCCTAAATATTCATTAATAGGAGACTGGTTATATAAATCATATCAAAACATTGGAATAATATATACTCAGTCCGTAGAAGTCATATTTTCCAAGAATAACTGTGATTTAATACAGCTATAACTTAGATAACTTAGATAAAATAAAATCTAAGTTAATAACTTAAATAAAAACTCACCTAGCTAAATGTCAAAGGGTAGATGAAAATAGAGGGAACAAAACACACTGGGGAAAAAAAAAGAAAGAAAAGAAAAAAAAATCTAAGACAAAAAGCATTAAAAGAAATAAACAGGGATATTTAACTTTAATAAGAGGTGCAACTCCCCAGAGAGGCTGTAATGGTGACAAATATGAATGTTTATGCGCCTAACTGCATAGCTGGGGAAATGTGAGGCCAGGACCAATGAAGATGCAAGAGAAACTGATCATCCACAGTCACTGAGGGAGGCTTTAACCTAAAATGAGCAGATCACACAGACAGAGACAAGGCTGGATAGACTGTGAGTAACCCAAAATTAGGCTCAGGACATGTAAGTTATGAATTTATGCTTAGAATAATACTAGGAAGATATTATTAAAATATTAACAGGTTGTTTTGGAGTAGAAAGCTATATGTGTTTTCTCTCTCTCCTTTTCTGTATTTTTCCATATTGAACATACACTTTTATAATGGAAAGGAAAAAAAGTTCATGTCCAAAGAGAATGAAGGGCTACACCACAGCATAATGAACACATCGCATAGCTTGTGCCAGCCCTAGCTCAAATGACGCCACCAGCCATGCACAGCTGTGAACAGTGACAGACAGGCCTCAGCGTAACTGGCCACAGGCAAGCTCGCCTTCCTCACTCCACACCAGAGGAGCACACGGCGGCCCCTTTCAGAGCTGGGCCAAATTTTCCTCTCAGGAAGGCCAGGGAGGGGATTTATAGGCCCACAGGACCCAGACATCTGTGCGAGTCTACTGGCAGTGCGAACCTTCCTGGTAAGAAGCAGACAGAGCGCCACGTAGGCAGGCTGTCCCTCCCTGACACCCACAAATGCCGCCTTTGTGCTGAGGCCCAAGCCCCTAACCCATGTGGGTACTGGGAGGCAAGAGAGAACAACTTCTGCAGTGTCTTGCTGAACTGCTGCTGCAAGCACCACTAACCTCTGTGACTGCTTTATAACCTTTTTGGGAGAGGCTGCCAGCCCAGAGCTCTTCTGATATTCTCCTGGGCTAACCTGCGGTCTCCCAAGGAGGCAGAGGAAGGACTTCTAAGTGTTCCAGCATTGATTAAAGCATCATGTTTGGTCCTACATCATCTCTTCTCCCATAATTAAAGAAATCCAACCTGAGAGACATAATTGGATATCCAAAGGGATGCATATGTTTCCAAGGTACCAGGAGCCAGGCAAAAGGAATACTGCAACAGAAAACCAAGATGCTCCATCGCAGCCTCGAGGCATTTTTGGAATAGAAAAGGCATAAATAATGCACACATATGGGTAAGGAATGAACTGCTTTTGAGAGGTTTGGGGCAGCCTGTACACTCCTTGTTCTCTGTTCCTCCCCTATTAGAATGAGCATCAAGACCTAGACAAAATGGGAGAGGCTGTGAAGTCAGTCCACTGGGCACCCCTTCGGGGCCTGCTCTTCCTCCTCATCCTCACTGCTCCCAGGCTACATTAGCACCCTCTCCCAGTCCACCTGGTGAGGGAAACAATAAAGTCACAAAGCACTTGCTGAGATGCTAGGGCTGGAAATAAGGCTGAACAAGTTGCATTGCATTTACCAAAGTGAGTTACAGGATGATATTTGGGGGCAAAGATGGCATTCTCCATGCTTGGCAGATCAGCCTGCAAACACGGCTGTCTAACTCTGCATACAACTTCAGAAGCAGATTTCACTGACGCCCCACAGACACACTCAAACATAAGCACCTTGTTCAAGTTCTCTCCCTGTCTATATGCATTACTAGTATGAATATTCTGTTTTTGCTAGGTTGTTTCTGTTCAATACAGGGAGCCTAGAGTTAGCTATTTATCACGATATTTGAAAAAAGCAAACAAAAAAATTATTTTGCCAAAAAAAAAAAAAATCTTGGAGGTTTTAGAAACCAATTTCTACATGTCAGACCCTCCCTTGGGTCTGGCCTTCTCATCCTTGTTTGGCCTCATGGGCCTGTTGGATTTCAGACATGGCTTGATTTCTTTCTGTCCTACTTCTCTAGGTCAACGCAAATTTCCAAGGTGATTGAGTATTTACTGAAATGTTCCCTGTGTAAGATCCCCAGAAATAGGAGAAAATAAATAAATAAAGATTGCTTGGTAAGCCAAAAGATTGATTTTGAAAGTATGATAATGGAGGATCTTAAAGCAATATGCAGTCAGGGCTGGGCTGTAGTAGAAGGCACAGACGGCACCTCTCCCTAGGCCCAGGAGCACAAACACAAAAATCTACAGGCCAGGCAAAGCAATGACAGAGAGCGAAGCGGCCAGGTGTTGGAATAACAATTGGGAGGGGTGGGGGCATTTATAGGTGACTGTTGGCTGGCTATTTGGGTCCAGCTCATTATTGCTATGTGGGAACACAGGCCCAGCAGTGCCATGAATCTACCAGATGTACTCTATCTAAAACACAGCAACATGAGGGAAGGACAAAGAGCCTGATACATAAAGAGGACTCAATCAACACTTGCAGAAGGAGTGAGGGCCTTCCTGGGCAGAGGGTGGATTGTCCTGGGAGAAAAAATGGCAAGAGACAGCTGGCGCCATGGAGGGTCCATAATCAAGGGAGGAAAGAACTACAGAGTGAACTTGAGCCACAGCCACTGGGATGGAGAGGAAAGGGTGAAATGTAGTAGACAGGCTAATGAATTTTCAAAAAGCAGAACTCAGTGAAAGACCAGATGTGCAGGTCTAGGGCGGTGATGAATCTTCCAGGGGAAGCCTGCAATGAACTTGTCTAGAGGGCTGAAGGACTGGCCACGAGGGAGAGAAGGTAAACACATTCTTCTTCACTAGCTTCAAAGCCCCTCATCTGGTTTGCCCAGACGACCTTATTTTCTTTCTCCTCCACTCTCCCATAAAAGGGATCAGGGGATGAGCAGGGGTCCAGAGGCCCAAGCACTGACGGAAACAGAGCTAAACCTATAGCTAATGAGGTGATGAGGTATTCATTCAGGAGAAACTGTTGGCGGAGTTAACAGAGGAATGGGCAGGGCAGGGGACAAATATTGGAAAGGATGATGTCTATGAGACAGTGGCAAAAACAGCGTGGGCTACACGGAGTCAAGGCATACTAGCCAAACGGTGGGAGAGCAAGGACAGAAAGGGGTGAGGAAGAGCCTTAAATAATTCTCAGATCATGGGTTCTTCACAGCATGGGGCATGCCTTGGGTTCTGGTCCACCATTTTCTTAAAGACTTGGAAAACAAAGATAAAAATATCGCTAAGAAGAAGTATTCTGGACAAATAAGAAATGGCAGGCTCAAGACTACTGCTCAGCTAAACCATGTGAGCCTTTTCATGGCATGACTTTTGTGGGCTTCAGTCTAAAAGCATATTTTTATGATTATCAAATTGGGTCCAAGGCCTTGGACAAATCTTAATGTTCACTTTAAAAGATAAACTTCATCAGGGGTTTAAGAACAACTACAACCACTTGTTAACTAAACATTTATTATAGTAGTTAATTTAACTACTTAGTTAACTAATTAGTAAATTAGTGATTGCTAACTAAGGGCCAAGGCTCTATTCTAGGTCCTTTAAACGCGCTATGTCATAAATCTATACAATGATTTTATGAACAAGCTGGTGGCATCATGCAAGTTTACCCATGAGGAATAAAAGCAAGACCTAGAGCTGTTAAGTCACCTGCTCAAGGTGATAAAGTCTTTGAGTGACAGAGCTGAGGTCAGAGCCGAAGTACTTCCAACTCCGAGGTACTTACGCCCTGGTTCTAAACCAAAGGTCAGTAAACATTTTTATGTAAAGGGCCAGATAGTAAATATTTTTAGCTTTGTGGGCAATATGTTCTCTGACACAACTACTCCACTCTGCTATTGTACTGCAAAAACAGCCAGAGACAATACATAAACAGATGGGCACGGCTGTTTTCCAACAAAACTTTTATTTATGTACACTGACATTTGAATTTCACATAGTTTTCACGTGTCACGAAATATCACCCTTCTTTTGATTTTTCTTCCCCAAGCATTTTAAAAAGTAAAAACCATGCTTAGCTTGTGGGCCATAAAAAAACAGGTGGTGGGCTGGATTTTTTCTACCTGCTGCAGTTTGTCGACCCTGGTGGAAGCCACTAGGCTCTGTTGCCCTCCAGCTTACATCACGTGCTGGTTTCCTGGGGAGGCCCATAGATATTTTAGGAAAAAAACCTGTGAGAGTGTGTCTGGATGGGGCACATGGCTCTGAAATACAATTGTGAGGAAAGACCCAACAGAAACAGTTCTGGCTCTGCCTGACCCCAGACTCAGACTTGTAAATTCCTTTCTTCCTTTAGTCCCCTGACTAAATAAGCATTAATTCAGGTCAATGTGAAACCAGCGGAAGTTCTGGGTAGGATGCATAACACAGTTTTCTGCAACCAGGGGCCCACCATGCCCTTCTTACCTGCAGGGTTTGACTGAAGCGCTTTAACGGTGTGGTCTTCACGGGCGGGATGAGGTTTGCTAGTGACGTAACTCTGGAAAGGGGTTTGACCCGTTTATTACTAGGCTCCTGTAGGGTTGAAAATACAAAAATAAAGGAAAACATCAAGGTCGGTTACGAAGACAACATAACTCCACCATTCAACTCTGTCTCACTCCACGAGCTGCTGGCTGCATCCTGCTCTGTGGAATATAAACAGTGCCCCGGCTCACGCCAGCTGCATGGAGATGACCTGACTTAGGAGCCAGGGCAAGGGACATGGCAGGGGACCTCAACAGAGGCAGCCTCTGGGACGACAGCAAAGGGGCAGGAATCCACTCCTCATCCCTCACTCCCAGTATCTGGCAGCTTTTAGTGAAGCTTCCACTTGGTAGAACATTCTCCCCATCCCTTCTGTAGAGAAACGTGGCCTTTGATTTCCCACCCAATGACCTTGTCAGGCCATTGTCTTCTGTTGCTTCTGGTTCTGTCTTCTTAAAAACCTTTCCCCACCTTGTCTAAAGCCACTCTTTTTTTATGTAATGGCTTTTCTAAAGTACAAAGATTATTTTTTTAGTTTACTAATTCGAAAATCTTTTTTTTTAAAAAGAAGTTCTATTACTGGGCTCTTAAGGAAACATCTTTGTATCTACAGTGTATTTGAAATGCACACATTAATATTTATAAATAATAACCAGATAGCGAAAGAAAATGTACAGTACAGAGAGAAAACCCTCCTGTGGGCATCAGTTTCTACACTATATATAACCACAAGTTTTGAAAATCACCTCCACATAAAACATTATTTGCAAATCTGCAAGTTACTCCAAACCAGGCTGATGGGTGAGAGGGAGCCTACTCACTCTAAGGACTTTGCAGACAGGAATTACATAAATAAAAACAACAGGCTATGGAGAAGAGAGAGATGGCAGACAAAACATTGTACAAAGACAAAGAGAACAGTTACCCTTGTCTTCCTAAGCTCCATCTGACCTGTAGTAGGTGCCGGACAGTACATGAAGACACCAAATTTAGATGGAAAAAGCCAAAGTAGCAAATTGTGGTGGCAAACCTCAATCATTTCCAGAGGGAGTCTCTAGGTATTCATCTTTCCTTTTCAGCCATTGCTTTCAAAGTTTCGAGGGTTAAGCCAGAACTTCAGATTCTCCAGGATATCCCTGCATCCCTGTTCTGAACATAGTAGGTGCTTGGAAAAATCTTTCATGCATTTGGAATCCTGCCAAGAAGCTCTCATGTCATTTTATGCCCTTGCCAGCCTCAGAAATGAGAAGCCTTCTTTGAAATAAACTGTCTCCAAGCTTTCTGGCATTTAAATATAAAAATTTAAAAACTTAAAAAAAAAAAAGCTCAATACAATCCCACAATGTGCCCAGGAGTGACTTCATGATTTCTTGAAGAATCCAGGCTGCAGGGTACCTCTCCGGCTTGTCAGTGTGCTAAGCTGAACAGACAGCAGAAAACTCTCGGAACACTGGGAAGGCTGAGTTCCAAAATGCAAAGCACGAATCGCTCAACATGAGAGACATCGCATTACAATGATTTAAGTGTTGAAAAGAAAGGTCTGACAGCCCTTCTGCTTCAGGTGACAGTGACCTTCAGGATGCTCCCTGTCTGGTGCCTGGCTCCTGAGCATTTGTGCCCAGAGGAGGATTTAAAATTTTTTTTTTTTTTTTTTAACGTCAGAGCCGCGTACGTGTACACACACACACACACATACGCACACGGCCTCTTAAGCATCCCCCAAATTTCTCTAAATGGCTTCTGCTTTGGGCTGGAAATGCCAGGTTTGGTAGCGCAAAATGCATTACAGCAAGTGAGGAGACAGGGAATCCTTGGGGGAGTCGACTTGGTCTCAGATAATCCTGCATGCACCTCAGACCCCAGAGACTCTTAAGTCTCTCTTTTTTAGTGGCTAAAGCTGCTGGGTCATGGATTCTGTATCAGAATGGGGAGGTTGAAGGGCAAACAGCAACTGGGTTCTCTTGCTTTAAAAAGGCACAGGGAGCACTGCGTGCTTGGCAGGATGGGGGATGATCCAGCTCTGTTCCACTTGCTGTGTCATCTTTTCTAAGGTTCTGCTGACTTTGTTGCTCATTCTACACAACCCAGACAGGCATTTTCTGCACACCTACAAGATATATGTACAATGCAAATGGCCCCTACTGCAGGTTGAGCACAGCACTGCTACATGAAATTGTAATTAGAACTGCTTTCCTAAGGCAATGCCCATTTGGAAGGAAACGTCAGGCTGCTCTCTGACATTCCCAAGTAACGAATGACTGAACCAGAAGCCGCTGCTGCATGATTTAGCACTACGATCCAGCAATGCAAGCAGGTGCAATTTCAAAACCAGTACACTTGCAGGTTATTGGATCTATGGGAGAGGCTTTATGCCTGACCCACATGAATGAGGTATGAATTATGGTGTTTTCCTTGAGGGCTTCTGTGAGAATAGGAGATTTAAAAAATTCTTGACCTAATTTGATTTTTCTTTTCCATTTACTTAGTATGTCTCCAGCTACATTTTACTGCTATCTAAAGAGAGCCCTCAGGGAAAATGTTTCCAGATTCTAGTTAAATAGTTCTACTGAGAACTAGCAAATGCAATACCAAGGATGCTTTCAAGCTTTACAGAGAGATGACAGAACACAGCCTGCAGAGAGGCTTCCTAAGTCCACCAACCCAGCTGCCAGACCAAGCTGGGCAAGGTCAATGCTAAACCCAGGAACAAGGTGTCCTGCTTCAAGTGTATGTACTACCCCTACCACGTGATTTTACGATGAGGCAGGAGGGTGTTTCATCAAAAAGGTTAAAAAAAAAAAGAAGAAAAGAAAAAAAAAAGAAGAAAAAAACGTCTTGAGCATTCTGTATAGGCAGTATTTTGTGAATAACAACTGTTGTGTTTTCATCTTTTTCAGGCCTTATAAATTTTTTGTTTTTCTTATCTTATTGCACCATCTAGGACCACCTATATATTGCTGATTACAAGCTGAGCTAGTGGGTACATTAGCTCAATTCCTGATTCTAAAGCAATTATTATTATTAAGATTTCATCATTAAGTATTGTGTTTGCTGAGAGCATGGAAGAGGCACCCTTTATCAAGTAGAGAAAGTTCCCTTCTGTATCAAGTATACTGGGAATTTTTATTGTAAATTGGCATTGAATTTTATCAAATGTTTCTTCTTCATTTATTCAGAGGGCAGGAAGGGAAAAAAGAACGAAGGAAGGAAAAGAAGAAGGGAGAAGAGGGAGGAAGGAAAGGCGAGAATGAAGGAGGACAGGCCCAGAGGTCATTTTTTTCATAAAGAAATTGATTCAGGAATTTAAAATGTCTCATGCTTAATTATGAACAATGATGAATAAAGCTCTCTATGTAATGTTATATTTAATATGAGTTATTTTCAGTAAATGATTTTAATATTCCTGCTCCAGGCGATACAATGATTTTTATCCTCTCCTCATTCTTCCCCCCAGTAGGTAAAAACCAAAGCAGATTGAATACAATGTAAGAAAATGCCTATCATGTCAATATAATCTAGTATAATTTTTTATTCCTTCAAAAATACTTACATTGAAACAGCCCTGGCATGTAGAACCCTCCCCACTCATTTTCCCTGCACTTCATTTTTACAGCCAGAGTGGGGCTGGGGAGTAGTACGAAGATCATCCACGTCATGTCTACGGCAGCCTTGAGACTCTATCTTTACTGGGCCACAGACAAGGTGCAGGAGAGGCTGGAGATGCAGCCATTAGCACAGGGACTCAGACTGAGGTACTGCAGGGCTGCTCTGCATCTGGCCAGGAGCAGGTGAGAGGTGAGAATCGATTGTGCCCAGCAGATGCTTTTGCCCATGAGTTGATGGAGTCATATAAAAAAGTCTTTCAAGTGTTTGGAAATACCAGGGAAGACTTTGTGGGGTTTCACCTGTGTGCCAGGTGATGTGCTGAAAACTGTGCTCCCAGGGGTTGTGTTTAATCTACCCAGTAACCCTCTAGGTGGTTTTCATCATCCTCATGTTAAACAGGAAGTTACAATCTTACAGTGATTAAGAAACTCTAGCATAAATAAATAATAATAATGACCTGATATTGGTTGCAGGAACTCATTTCAGTGTTTTACAATATATTTGTTAATTAATTCCTTCTAACATCCCTACGAGTTAACTACTATTATGATCCCCATTTTAAAGATGGGGGTGCTGAGGCATGGAGTGGGGCGACTTGCTTAAAGTCATTCAGCTAAAAAAAAAAAAGCTGATCAGGATATAAACCCAGGCAGGCTGACTGCAGAGCCCATGCCCTACACCAGGGCTTGGCTCATTTTTTCTGTAACAGGTCAGATAGTGAATATTTCAGGCTTTGCAGGCCATCCAGCCTCTTTCATGACTACTTATCTCTGCTGTCAGCCATCAACAATCTGAAAATAGATGTGTGTGGCTATGCTTCATTAAAACCTTTCTTTGTGAATACTAGAAATCAAATTTCATATAATTTTTGCATCACAAAATATTATTCTCCTTTTGATTTTTTTCAATCGTTAATATAGAAGCCATTTTTAGCTTGAGGCACATAGGAAGTGTGCTGTGTTTGGCCTGTGAGCCCTAGTTTGCTGATCACTGTTTGCTGAACAGTCATGTCCCTGGTCAGTGGTCTTCAGTCTCAGCTTTTCCACTGTGACATACCCAAAGACAACACTTCTAGGCACTGCACCCTCCCATGGGCACACCTAGTCACTGTCAGGCTCCAGCAGACAGCATGAGCTGGATGTGCATATTCTCCCTGGAGCTGGGCGTGCAGGGTCCTCCTCTGATGAGCAGGGGGTATATGTAACTCACTTTTTATGTGAGTAAACCCATCCTATTGCATGTTATTCTCTTAACTTTCTAAACAAGTCAGTCCAAACACAATACCGACTTTCCCTGACCATTAATATACATGAATAAAGGACATAAAAATGATATAGTGCTTGGGTTCTACTTCAAAATAATATGAAGTTGGGAAAGGGGGATGGAAGAAACAGCATCGTTCACAGGTTGGTGGTGGTCAAAGCTAGGTAGGTGCCAGGTGC